CTCCATCTCGGGTCCATCTCAGACTCCATCTCAAACTCCATCTCGGGTTCATCTCGGACTCCATCTTAAACTCCATCTCGGGTCCATCTCGGACTCCATTTTGGGTCCATATCGGATTCCATTTTGGGTCCTCTTATGTCCCTTGTCTAGAGACTCACTTACTGCTTGCTTTGTGCTCATTTCTCGAGCACTTCGTTGGGAGTTCCACTCCCACTCTTGATTTTTCAAGTCGGAACTTTTGGTCTAAACATGTTAACTTGTTTGGCTTTCATTTCGGCCATTACCATGTGGCACCTTTTCGGCTTCACTTTGGGGCTTTGGGATTTGTGTCTCATAAATATATGGTTATGAGTTTAAATCTCCTGTGAGTTTGAGTTTGGCTTTGGTTTAGGTGTATCATATTTGTGATTTCCTGGAGGATATACAAATCAAGCTTAAGTTGGTAAAGTTGAATCTGAGCCAAACTCAAGATTGAGACAAAAGATTGGTTAATGAGTATCATCGTCATTAGGAATATAAAGTTGGTGACAAAGTTTTTTTTAAGTTGTCAGATGCATAATAGTTTTTAAAAGGAGGTGGTAATGCTAAGTTGTCTCCACAGTATTATAGGTCTTAGACAATTTTACAATATATAAGGGATTTTGCTTACACTTTGGATTTATTAGCTAGTTTAAAGATTTATCCAACATTCTATATGAGCAATCTTAAAGCATGTTTACACTCTAGTAATATCATGGATTAATTCATCATCTAGGTACTAAAGATTGATGTTGAGAAAGCTAATCCGGCCAATATTTTTGCTTAAAGATTAGTGAACTCATGCCAGAAGATAACTAGGGAATTATTAGTTCAGTGGAATGGTTATTCCATGGACAAAGTTACATGGGAAATTAAGGATGATGTGTAGAGAGGGTTTTTGAGTTTTAATTATGACTTAGATAACATTCTTGAGGAAGAGAAGAATTGAGTTTTATAGCTATATTATTATATGATTTAAGTTATTTATTTTATTCTCACTTTCTTGTTTCCATAACTGTATTGTCATGTGAGAAAGCTGTATTAAATTGCCACAAACTTCAGCATCAACAGCAACCAATCAAAGTGGAAATCTTCACCCAGACACTGCTATGCTCATTCAGGCTGCCCAAGAAACATTGGCAGTCAAACAAAGATTCCAGCTGCCACACTTCCCAAGAGCAAGTGGTGGGATAATGACTGCTAGGAAGCTAGGCTTAAATAACAACAGGCTATGAACCAACATCATCCACATGCTGAAAGATTCCACAAGACTTTTTGGTGTTTATGCAAGCGTAAAAAACGGACATTTGTACCTAGCACGCTTAATGAGACCACATTCACGACCTACATGCTCATGCTCACGTGATTTTCTGCAAACGCAAGAAAGTCACACTTCTCAATGATATTTAATGAAACTATGTCTCGCAGATCGATGATATCTGATCCAGCGGCTACCTTGTCACAAAGCACCTGAGAAAAATGGCATCACAGCAGAGGTCCTGCAAGCAGCGAGTCCTTGCGAGAAGATCTGTTTCCGACAAGGAAACCGAGGATCTGTGGATCGCAAACCGAACATCTTCTGGTAGCATAAATCCAAACCGTTAGATTCTTATCAATGGACGGCTGGATCTGGAGCCCTAATTGATACCGGCAATGTCCAGTGGCGAGGTCAGTGGTTTGGATTGGGATGCGCGTGCTGCAAAGGTCGAGGGCCTGCAAGCTGTGGTGCTGGAAGATGGCGACGGAAGCTTCTTCAATCGCCAGGTGGAGCTGAGGGCATTGCAGGCACGCCTGGCTACTCGTCCGGTGGCTGTGACCATGGTTATTGGGCCAAATGATTGTGGGAAAACTAAGCTGCTCAAGCGGCTGAAGGAGATTTGGCTTTCGGACGAGGAGTTGGCGGCCACTTCTCCAGTGTTCTACTTTGACATGAGGACGGACGCGTGGGGCAGTCCTCAGGATGCAGCGGACCAAGTGCGGAAAATGTTTTGGCGATGGACAGATGTGTTGATGAGTTGGGCGAAAAGGGTGGAGCAGGGATTGAGTGCCGTCACCCTCAAGAGAGCCGGCAGGAGTCTCGGTGTGGACATAGCGCTGAAAGATGTCTTAGAGCTTCTTCCGCTTGGTAACGAGGCTAAGGCAAGCGATCTGGCCAAGGTGATGCACGCCTTCTCTGCACTAATCGGCCGAACTAAAATGACGTATCCAATCTTCATCTTCGACCAGGTTGATAAGCTGAAGAAGTGGGAAAAGGAAGATCTTGAGACCTTCTTTGGCTTCTTCAGGGCTCTGGTGAAGCAGGATAACAGGGCGTATCTTATACTCAGTAGCTCGGACGACTTCTTCAGGGTATGGCTCCGGGACATGTTCAATCCTGGACACTGGGAGCCGTTTGGTGTGGGATACTTTCCAGAATCTGATGCACGTACGTTCTTTGATGGTCACTCTATTCCGGCTGCTGGCAGGACACTCCCTCCAGCGTTTGGAGACTCTGATTGGAAGGACATCTACGAGGTATGTGGTGGGTCTCCTCTGCTCCTTAATCTGTGTGCTCGCGCTGCTGCTCACAACCCCATCAGCTGGAAGGTAGCAGCTCATTCTGTTATGTGCAATAGCCTTGGAACGATCCAAATGGGCCTTGCAGCTACACCTGCGATGGGCTTCTCTCCCGAGAAGTATGAGTCAATTTGCAAGAAGATAGTGCAACATGAGTTTATAGGTGCGAAAGCTGTCCTAGCGGAAATCTATAGCGGCAACAGGGTACAATGGAAACAGGAGATGTTGGCGATGTCGGCAGGTAACTTTATTCATGTGCGATATGTCACCGGAATGACGTCGTACTCGGATGTGAGGCTTTCCGATGTTGGGAACGAGGTTGACCTAGTCATGGCGCGCTCTCCTGCTGATCGAGCAGCTATGAAGGACGAGTTACGACTCTGAGTTGGACACATAAAATTATTGAAATAAACAAAATTCAGGGATGATTTAAATTTAAACCAATGTAATTGGTCTTTGGGCTAATTAAGTATGTACATTTTTGTATATCTTTATATATGGGCCTTGCAGCTCACAATTTTGATTATCTTTCAATGTGATTAGCTTCTAGATTAGGGATCTAAACTCTCTCTCTCTCTCTCAAGTTGAATATATAAAAGTTTTACTATATGAATCATTATTTATTTATAGAAAATCATTACACTGTAAAACAAGAAAATAAGATCCTAGTATAAATATGGGCTAGTGAATTTAATTTTTGGTTTGCTTTACTACTTAGGGCTAATATATAGTATATAGTATAAATTGGTAAATCATGTAGATATATCTGATTTTCGCACTAAGTTCACCACTCTCTATAGCCATGTCATAGTTTAAAAATAGTAAATCTATTTAGAATATACCTGGATATTTTGGTATATTCTACTATCTAAGGGTTTAAATATATTTATATTAATCCTCTGTTTATAAATATATACATGCTTATAATTTATTAACCTGCTTAAACAACATCCAATAGGTTAGTAAACTTTTATTTGAGTCCTTGAAAGCTTGGAGCTGAAAATTGAAAATTCCCCAAATTCTCGTAACTTGTATCAGTAGCTAAGATAATCTATTTATATCTTATCACTTAGAGTAGTTTGTAATTAAATTACAAAATGAAATAGCAAATTTTTAGATATTTTTATCTTTTCTATTTTAAGTAGTGATATTTCACTGTAAAATAAATATAAAATTATGTGCAAACACAAGAAAAGAAACATTGGAATTGATTACCAACTACTCTGTTGCTTAGTTGATCTGACTTGGAAGTTGCATTGCCAAGTGCTTCCAACCTGGAAATTTCCTATCAGAGAAAAAAATGTTGAGCAACAAATTTTAGAACTCAAGAAAGGAGAAGCGAAGAAGTCTTCAACGCCAGAATGCCGTCAAAAGAAGCCAGCGGAAACTAAAGCATATTGCCTAAACTCCAGGAAAAAATATCCGCAAGATCGTCTTCTGGAATCTCCAGCAGCGCATGCCCAGGATGGAGCACCCATTCCTCTGCAAGTTCGGACAAGAAATTGAGAGTATGGATAGTGAAAACATGGGGAATGTCCCATGGTTTTCTCACAAACTTGTCATGATTTTCTCTTTTAGTGTTGAATGCCTTCCCGAACTAAGAACAAGAACAAGATTTCAAAACCATGGCATGATTATTCTAGGAATTAAAATAAGATCGCTGTACGTAAGGTTTGAAGACGTCGTTGAGCACAGTCTTTGAAAGCAGTGACGCCTTGAGCAGGGAGAACAAAAAGAAGAAACTGAGAATTTACCTCGTTAACGCCCACGCTGACCTCAATACTCTCGAGGTCGGCCATAGTTTTCACCTTGAGCGTGTTGAGCAGGACGATGCTCTTGATCGTGGAAGTCGGGTAGACTTCGAGCTCGACGGTGATCATGAAGATCACATTGTCCTTGACGTAGCCAGTAGTTTGAGGGGATTTTCCTATCTTCAGCACTTGATGAGAATAATCAGGATGGCATGAGAAGTGTGTACTGCCAGCGCTGAAATTGCAGCAGTTTTGACGCCCACACTTGTAGACCGGAGCAGTGGAATCCGGCCCTTCTAAGGTAAGAATCTTTCCTCCCCGAAACGCGGAAGCATCCGTCACCAGATCGGTGAGAACGGTCTTGCTAACTTCCATGCTCGACTGATCCATCTTCTCGAAGGAGCCTGATCACAGACCCCACCGGAAGCACGAGAAAGCTCATGAGGAGATCAACGAAGTCTTTCTTTGCCTCGAGGAAGGGAACAGTGCGATCGGACTTCTTGTAGAGGAGATTGACTTTCACCTCCGCGGCAGGAGAGGAAGACGTAGAGCGCGACGTGAAAGCAAACGAACGAGATAACAAAGCAAATGCGACGACAAGTTCTAAAGTTCTAAAGTTCTAAAGTTTTAAAGTTCTAAAGTTCTAAAGTTCCCTGCTCCGAAGAGCTCGCGAAGTCATGAATCGGACCTGTTAAATCACTGTCGAATCTCGTGCACCAGGAACGATAAAAAAAAGGATGGTCGTTCGCGCCGATATTTGGAAAACTTAATTCTTGAAACTTTGGGGTTGACATGCCTGCCGGGACTTGGAGATGCCGGGTATCGATCCCGGTGCCTCTCGCATGCTAAGCGAGCGCTCTACCATCTGAGCTACATCCCCTTAGCACAAAGATAAATTTTGCAAAGCTATTCTCAAGGCATGGATGATTGATTTCCCTGAGAACGAAGTTGAGAATAGAAGCCACTTACAAGTTATCGCTGCGGTTGCGCCAACAGGCTTTGCATCTGCAACAAAACTTAGATGAGACCACGAAGAGAACAAACATGTATACAAACCCGAGCAATTTGCTGATAGTGCTTGTCTTCCAGTGACTCTCCACTGTCGATTGTCACCAGCGCTTCAAGCGAGCCCAGGCGAGTGTCCAAGGCTCCAACTTCTTCCGCTAGTCTTCTCACTTCACCATAGCCGGAAACGCTCGCAAGTCCGGTGCTGGTACTCCGCTGGTCGTTTTTGTTGGTTTTAGCCGCTGAACCGACGAGCAATTGCCTGCATTTGGAGATGTCAGTCACATAAATGATCCGCAAAGTAACTTACTTGAGAACGAAAAGGCAAAACGCAGCCGAGGCTGGGCCAGTTATCCCAAGATTCTGGCTGACCCCGTAGGACAACTGTGCTGACGTTTGAAGCCCTTGCATCAGCTGTTTCCAATAGAAGAAAGTATTATCGGAAATCAAACTGAAAGAAAAGAAACTTACCATCCAGCCCGAAGATAATCCCAAACAGATCAACGCAGCTATGGGAATAGCTGCTGTAATAGCATATGTGAACTCTGGGCTCTTGAGTTTAGTAGCCATTTCGCCCACCACTTTCTCTTGTAACACTTTGATTCCAGCACCAGATTCTGCCATCAGGGAAAGGGCAGCCATCGGGACAGCCGCTGGTTCGAAGTTAGGAGGAAACTTCGGAAATTCAATCTTGATCGGCTCCACACGACGAGTCCCTCTAAAGAAACGGTGCTTCAGTGCAGCTGCTGCAGAAGGACGACCTCTCACAAGGCCTGGAAAATAAATAATCAGATCAAGAGTAACTGCTAGCATGCATGCTTCAGTCTTACTGGGCCAAATCATGAATGCCTTGTCGTGCCGCGGTTGAAGCAAAGCAGTTACAAGCTCCCAGCCAGCGCCATCTTCACATTACACAAACAGTTAAATGATATCCAGTAAAGCCGCAATTATCATTACCATCAGCATCCAAAAGGGAAAACTCTTCCTTCGGAACTTGACATTTTTTCCTCCACTTGTTCAAATCGTATCCTGCGCGCTTAAGTTCTCCAGAAAAGTGCTTCTGCAGTTAAGCCACGTCCCTCCATAAGCTCGTAACACACGAAATTTTGATCTGCAAAGATTACCATCGCACTCTCATGTCGCAAAGATTTTACAGACAACTGCATCATCACCAAACCCTGTAACGAAAGCTAATTAGAAGTTGAAGAGAAAACACGCGTATTGAGACTTACAGCTGAGAATACGTCAAAACGATCTGGAGTATTCAAAAGCCAGATGAGTGGCGAGATTAGCGAGCAAAGTGGATCAGGAGGAAGCCTTGGCGTTCTCGTCGGCATGACGTACTGCTCAGGAGGTGCATAATCTGGGTCCATGATTGTTTCGTTTGGAACCTGTACTTGAAATTTTCATTTGAAAAGCATGATTTGCGAAAAATTCATCACTTACGTAATTGTAACCGGACCGTAGATTGACACATGCGCCAAGGTCAACGAGCTTAAAAGTATCCGTATCGCCAGCGAGAATTAGATTTAATGGCTTTACATCACGGTGCACAACGCCTGGGGATAAAGTAAGAACAAGATCTAAAAGACATTCGGCTGCAAACATGCTTACCGGTTCCATGGATTTGTTGTAGGTTATATAACAAGTGAGTCATTATAGTTCGGAGAATTAGAGCATTTTGTCGTTGGTTTGTAGAGCCATAACGCTTGTTTGTGGCCTAAAACAACCCTGTTACCAACATCTGATATTAGCCAAGGCATACAACCTTACACTGTCTCCGAGAAGTTGCTTTGAGAGATTCTCTGGAAATGTCTTTTGTTTCATGTAGTGATTCAACGTATGGTAGCCTTGAAACTTCCACACTAGCCACAGCCCCTGGACAGAAAATGCAATGCAGCAATCTTAGACGCGGGTCTCAGTCGCCACTCTGTATCTCGTACCTCTGTTAACTTTCTTTTGACTTGATCCTGCTTGACTCGCACCGTTCCCAGAAAATCAGCCACAGCCTCTGGCGCGTTTCTCTACAAAACAACAACAATATGACTCTCTCTCTCTCTCTCTTGACCAAATTTACCTGCAAGTACCGGTTCATGTACACTTCCGTATTGTGCATTTCTGAAGAGCCCGAAACTTGAGCTTTCGCTTTCTTCAAAATGACATGCATGCCCTCGTCGCCATTGGCTGCCAAAACTCCAAAAATCAACCTGTTGGTATCAAAACACCCAGGCTCTTACTTCCTCGGCCAATGTATCCATCATAGACGATTCCGAACGATCCTTCTCCAATGCGTCTTCCAACCTCAACTTCATTGGCTGGGAATTCCCTATTACGATGAAACAAAGAAAACACACGCTGCGTTGAGCAACAGAGTTATAAACTTGGAAGTCGAAAACCTTTGACGACGAGCATGCAAAGGAGAAGCGAGGAAGTCAACAACGCCAGAAATGCCGCCAGGAGAAGCCAGCAAGAACCAAAGCATTGCCGGTGCTGCGACAGCCCACCATTCCAGAGACTTGACCAAAAAAAAAAAACGTTTCAATCAAACGAGTACCACAAAAGGAAGAAATCCACGCTTACAGTCTGCGAGCTGGGAAGCACTTCCAACGAGTCTTGCAAGATCGTCTTATGGAAAAAAAGACCACTCTCCCGCAATGCATTCCCGACACTGCCCAGGATCGATCGACAAAATATCGACATCTAAGAAATTCCTTGCCTGGATTCCATCATACTGCGCTCCAAGCTCGCGACGCTCACCCGGAATCCAGCGCTGGCGCTGGAAATACGACCCCGGGAACCTCCTCGGAGCTTGCGCAGCTGGATCGGACGTCCAAGCCATGGCGATCCCAATGCGGCAGCGTAGGACGTCATGGCGCCAGAGATCGCCGCCCCTCCCGCACCACAGCTAGGCGATAAGATTGCGATTCTTGGATCGCAAAATAAATCCCGCCGTTTAGGGTTCTGTCAGCTAAGATGCTGCCACGTGTTAGCGCGTATAGCCGTGTGATCTAGACAAGCGTGCCGGCTTGGAATGACCGTGTCATACTCGCCAATGGTCTATTCTGCCAACACGAAGGAGGCGCACGAACAGCATTATTAGATTTCTAGGTCTTGTGCCTCTCTCGCTGAGATCTCTGGGCAGAGATCGATCATAGATCACTTAGCCAGCAATCGCAAGCCAGGAATCGATACTTCGCGAGATTTTTTTCTTCGGGACATCGATCGATCGCGATGGCAGTGAGTAGCAGTAGCTTGATGGGTCGATCGACTGGATCGATTGATTGATTGATTGGTGGGTTTGTTTGCAGCAAAGGAATAGAGCTGGGTCTCACGTCCCGCGATTTGGGAATTGGGATCCCAACGATCACGCGCCCTACACCAAGGTGTTCGAGTCGGCCAGAGCTGGAAGAGGCGGCCGATTGATCAACCCAAATGATCCATCCGAGAACCCAGAAGCATTTGGAGCGTTTCCTCCACCGCCTGCCACTGTTGCCCCAAAATCGCCCCATCGCCAAGAACAGCACCAGCATCAACAAGACAATCCGACGGATCCAGCGCGAAGATCGCGCACGGAGCAACGAATTGGCAGCAGGGAGGACGGGGAATTCAAGAAATACATGGAATCGCCCGCGCGCTACCGGCAATCACCTGCTATGGTGGGAAGAACTCCATCCTCGTCCTCCGATAGCAACCGGCGCTACAATGGATCAGACATCCATCGATCGCCGCTCCATCCGCAAGCCAAGGTAAGAAGATCTTGGGCAGCTGGATTTCACGGTTTTGGATCGCTTGCTGGCACAGATTCCCGAGAGGAACGCGCCTGCATTGCCCAAATTCGGGGACTGGGATCCCAAGGATCCATCGTCGGGAGAGGGCTTCACGACAATCTTTAACAATGCGAGGAACGAGCGGCAGCCGGGAAGAATTCAACAGGACAGTGCTCCGGATCATCAGCAGCATGGCTATGGACGAGGAGGAGGAGCTCATCCCGGTCGCAAGCAGCAAGTAAGTCCTCGCGACTCAATTGGAGAAAAAAGAAATTCTTTGACTGTTTCGATTCTTTCTTCCTTGCAGAGCAACTGGTTTTGCTGCTTTGGCTGATTGATCCATGGCGACAGACAGTGAAAACTATAGTGCTACCATTTTTGTGATTGATAGAAAGAGACCATTGTTGCCAAAAGACCATAAGTAAGGTATGTACACAAACCATAAAGGAAGAGATTTTTTTCATGCAAAGCTTAGAAGAGGTTTCGCCGAGATTCGAACTCGGGTTACTGGATTCAGAGTCCAGTGTCATCACCACTAGACCACGAAACCATTTTTCGCAAAGAGAGTTTTTTTCTTGTTCTGGGGAAACGCTTAAGAGAAACCAAAGTTATAGCTTGCTCGGTCCCAAAAGCTCAAACGATTCTTCTTCTTCTTGATATGATCTATACTTACGAACGTATGTTGAGCGAAGCGCTCAACTATATTTCATGCAAGCGATTCACAAAAGAGACTGTACAAAAGCGAAAGGCTTACCCCCACAAACGCTAAAAGCTTCCTCTTTGACGAAAGACACGCCATCCAGCATTGACGCACTGCGCAAGAGCCCAAGAGACAATCAGAGACGATCGAAGACCAAATGCGCAAAGACGAACGTTTTCACGAGTTTTCGCTAGCGCCTGCTCGTCGGAACCACGTCGCAAAAGCCATGGCCAGGTTCGAGCTCTCGTCCAGCCCGCGAGAAGCGAAGCTCAGGCACTGCTGGAGAAGCTCCTGAGCATCGCCAACCGGAAGCGTCGAGATGAGCTTGAGGAACACCTCCTCCAGATTCTGGTGGAGCTGCTTGTTGCAGTTCGCCGACACTGCGTTCTCCTTGGAAGTTATGAGAACTGGAAGCCAGTCCCTCACCATCTTCTTCCTCACCTCCCTGGAAACTAGGATGGATCCGGTAACCATGGCCTGAGCGAGGCGAGATGTGCACCGGAGTAGAACCGCGGGCAAGCCGGGTACATTGTTCCTCCAGACGTCGTCCATGAAAGCTCTCTTCAAGTTGGCAGTGAAGGAACTCTGCTCGCTCCACTCGAGCACGGCATTCTCCGCGACTTTGAGCTCGATCATCCGTTCCACAAGCCATAGCAAGTGCCTCCCGCTCACCACCGCCGTGTGAAGATTCTGCCGCTGCATGGCTTCGATCTCGTCGTGCCTCCCGCGGACGTTCGGGCTCGAGTACTCCTCCACCGAGTCCTTGACCGTCTTGAGCCCATTCTTGAAAGCGTTGTCCAGGACCAACCTCACAGTCTCCCTCGACTTGTGGCTGTCGAGGATCTTCCCCACGAAGAGCTTCACGCTCGCAGCGTTCTGATGGTTGTGGGTGGCGGCGTAGACGAGCTCGCTCAGCATCGTCTCCACGGCGCTGTCACTCCCGGGGATCACCCTGGCGATGATCTCCGGCGTCTCCTCGAGCTGGAGATAGTTGAGAAGCTGGAGGATTTGCTGCTCCTCCTCCCTGCTCCAGGGAACAGCCTCGAGGAACTTCAAGCACCGCGCCATGCAGTCATCGTAGAGAAGCTCGGCGGTCACTGGGAGAAGCGCCAATGCGGACTGGACATCCACGATAGCCTCGCTGAAATTCTCCGTGTAGAAGAGCCTGAGGATCCCGAGGTAGACCGGCATGGGAGAAGTGGTGTTGATCCTGAGATGCGTCTTTGGAGGCTCTTGCTCGGCCGCCATGGAAGCCTGATCGTCGCCTTTCCATCGCTCGGACAGGAGCGCTGCGAAATACCTCGATTTGGCGAGCACTTGGGAGTGGAGATGGAGCACATTCTCCTCCTCGTCGCCGATGAGATGCACCACGACGTCGGCGGTGGATTCCTCGCCGAAGGAGATGATCCGCGCCTTGTCTGGATCGACCTTGACATCCCTGGAACCCTGTTCTTGCAGCTGCTCCTGGTGCTGCTGCTCGTCCCCGGCGCAATCTTCTCGATTCGCGGGGAAGCCATTACCTGTGATCTGCCCCACTCGGCTGCTGTCGCTCCCAGACGATGATACGCGCTGCCGCTTCCTGGCCATGGCGCTCGCGATCTCGTCCCTCTTCGCCATTATCCACTCTACCCTAATCTTTTGTTTGGAGACGAAGAGAAATATCCTTTTATCTCGAGCTTTCGCCATCCCGTCCAGCTCAAAACTTGGCTACCTGGATAAAAATTCCGAGAGCTACAGGCACACGATGATGCAATCCACGACAGACGATGAGAACTATAGAAAAACAAAACTTTGAGCTGCGTTACACGAGTTTTACGATAGAAACCTGTGACAAACAAGGAACACGAATGAATCCATGAAAGAAAAGAGAGAACTTTGTGAGTACCTTGCGCGGTTCGCACTTGACGATGCAGTCCAGCAGCGAGGATTCAAGCACCATCGCGCTTGAATCCTTCACGAGCTCGCATTTGCCATCCTTTTCTCTGTAGACGGGGAACGTTCTAGTCGAGGGCGAGGTCGAGTGAAGCTCGAAGTTGAAGCCGCTGTCATGGAGCTTCTTTGCGAATGACACCGAGAGAATGTAGCCTCCAAGAGGACTTGCAGCACTGCACAGCTCCAAGTCCTTGTTGTCCTTGCAAGCGTAGCGCCTCACAAGCTCGTAGCTAAGCGAGTTCTCGTTTTGGAGCTCTCGGAATCCAATGACGTCCATGGATGGTTGCCATTCCACCGTTTGGATGGTTAACTCCGATGCTTGTGCCTCTGCATATCCAAAAAGGAAGGGATCCGCTATCCTTGCCTGTGAAGTTGGATCATCCAGCACCTGAACAAAAAGATATAGAAGATGGTGACCAAAATGCTTTTAAAGAACCTTGCCTGTAAGTAATCGAGACCTTTCTCTGCAAACTCTGAGGTAAGGCCTTCAGTAGCTAGAGCTTTCAGCACTCCGCCATCGCCAGTTACCGACTGCAAAAGTTTCCATGGTGACATTCTCAATATCTGGTGATCACCAGCGACTGTGTTTGTGTCAAAACAGGGAACTGTTTCTACGGTTATAACGCAGACCTGCATTCAAAGAAACAACGTGAAACTTAAGCTTGAAAAGCTAGCTATAGTCTTACTTGCGTGGATTGGAGCCCGAAGAATTCTTCTTCGTCCAGAAGTGAACGAATCGGTTCAATGAGATCCGAGCTGGTACAAATGAACCAAGGTATTTGGCAGACGTCTCCTGGAAATTCCTACGCTCCCACAGTTAGTGGTGAAGACTACCTTTTATGAACAAGAGCACTCACGAGCGTAGCAAGGTTTTCAATTGTTCGAAGATGTTGAGCAAGAAGCTGGAGTCGTGATTTTTGTTTGTCCAGTTTTTGATCCCCGTCGTCATTCGGACGTATCAAGGAAGCAACAGCCACTCTATTGCTTGCAATAACATCGAGTCCCCGCTTCCAATAACCTTTTCCACTGTTTGTTTCGCCATCTCCCGTATATGTGCCTTCTTTCATCCACCTCTCGAGCTCCTGCTTGGAAACCAAGGGAATCTCGGGAATCTTGGTGAAGCCACTCAACCTGCATTCGTTCTTTACAGGAGAACATTAACAGCAAAAATATGCACGGTCATACCGTTTTAGAACGCTCGCAAGCTTTCACAAAGGACACTTGAAGAGCTTTGAAGTCGATGTTCAAAAGCTCCTTCAGCAACGAATCTCGCTCTTCTTGCTCGCCGACAGAAAGTCCTGCTAAAAGGTGGTCCTGCTTGGATTTTATCAGACTTTTCTTTAAGCCACTCTTTCTCATTTGCAACTTCCGCATGGCTTTCACCTCCTATAAGAACCGTTAATTCGGCAGATTATAGAACTCACTTTCGGCCTACCTCTTTGCGTGCTTCAGCTTTCTCCTTGCGTTTCGCGGGCGTATTCAGCTCCAGTAGCCCCTCGGGAGGATCCACTATCACTCGCCTTTGCTCCATATCAACCACGGGAACTATAGCTTCGACAAAAGGAATCCAAATAAGAGGGCCCTCACCAACAGATGAAGCTGGATTTCGTTGGACACGCAGCAAATCACTGGCTCCAAAGTTGCACATATCAGCAATAGTTCCAATGTTTTCCATGGAGCTCTATCATAAAATATAGTAAAGTAAACAAGGCATGAGCATGAAGTAACAAAATTCATACCTGGACAAAAACGTCCATGCCTATGAGATCTGGAATGTAAAACTCGCCTTCTTCCAGAGCAGGCCGTTCGTCACGCTTGACAAGCATGGTAGCACCAATATACTTCGAAGCCTGAAAAAAAATACAAATTTTGTCAAAGAGTAAGAACATCTGAGCTTACCTTCTCGACCGAGTCCACATTTTTCAGCGTAAGCAACCAGCACGGTAGCTTGCCAGCTCGATTTCTTCCACTGACGAGATCCACACACTCTATCGTCTCTTCACCTCTCTCGGAGATTTTCATCCATCGCTTCCCAGGCTGAAAGAAGCAAGATAAAACTTACAAATTGTTTTTCTTCTAAAGAGAACTTGCCTTCTCAAATCGTTCTTGAGGGAAATCGGTAGAGGACCGAATGAGCAACTCCCCACGAACTCCATGCTTTCTAATCACAACGCCCACCTCCACAAACTCATCCCTGACCTTGTCTTCGTCTTGAATCGATTCAACAGATTTCTTATCCACTGTGCCAGAAAAAGCATCAAACGAGAAAGAATGCGTTCGCTTGAGCTTACCAGTGGCAAGAGCTGTGAACCTGGTGCCGCAAGAAATCACTCTCGCGGTGAGAATCCGAGCGCCATTGCTGCCGTCGGTGCTGCTAATCCTGGATGAAGATGGAGGCCACGATGAAAGAAATGTGATTCCCGAGCGAGGAATCGAAAGGACATGTGAAGAAGAAGCTCCGAGCGCCAGCGCCATGGGCAAGCATTCAATCTAGGGATTCTATCAGCTCCCGGCATTTCACAAGCCCTAGAACAGAGCTTATTTGAATTCTAGGTTTAGCGGGAAGAGGGCGAGCTAGGGTGTGGTGGAAATGGCGCTCTCCTCCCTCGCCGATGCGCCATCGCTCTCCAGATCGTGTAAGTTCGCCGAGAACCCTCCCATTTGATCCTTTTTTCGTCTGTTTGCAGCCGAATCGGGCCTTCCGCCGCTTGGACGATCCTGGTCCCGTGCTCGTCACGACGACAGATCGATAGACGCGCTTTTTGATGAAGGTAAGGATGTAGAATGAATTGGTCTAGAGCTGAGAGATTTCCTACTTCGTTGATTCAAGGTCTGGTAGGGATTGACGAGGAAAGTCCATTGGAATTGCCAGTGTCCACAAAGACGTCGAGTGTTACTGAAAGTACACGCACTGATTCAGCTCAAGGCAGCCACTCTGTGAGCTCGTTTACTGTCAAAAAAGATGATGCTGAGAAACAGTGCTCCACTCCAACCATGTTTCCCAGCGTGAATCCCACTTTGAGCTCTCCGACAGAAGAATGCAAGCCAGAGACACCACCGGATGAGTAAGATGGAGACTCAAACACTTCATCCAGCGAAAAGCATTCGAAAATCGACACTCCTCGTTTGATTTACATTTTCGACAGGGAAATCTTCAAGAGGAAATGGAAGGAAAATCTCGTTCCACCTCCAAGCTTGGAAAAGAAGAGTTCCTTTGACAGCCTTCTCACTCATGTTTCGTCTGTTAAACACGACCAAGAGCCTTGGAAGAAAAAGGTACGTCGATCTCATATGGTTTTTATTCTCTTATTTTTCCACGTTTATTTCACAGGATGACGACTGGGGTGAGAGCTCAGATATCCTATCTATGCTTCCGGATGGCTCGGAGGGTGACTTTAATAAGGCAAAACCGGAAAGAAGGCCATCTAATATATCGAAGAAGCCAACGACTGAAAGACCGGATACACCATTTGAGTTTGGTGAGTACCAACCTTCGTGCCTCTCGGGAAAAACTCCTATAGCCGGAAGAAGACGAATGAGCCCCACAAATTTCAGCTCAACACTAGGCAACACGGAGGCAACGAGCAAGCTCTCAGATAGTACGAGCCATACAAAACGAGATGGAGACGACATTTCGTTAATCATCCCCGTTACTCCTCCAGTTGACAAACAAGCCAAGCCCACTCCAGCAATCCAGCAACGTGAAAAAGGTATGAACAGCCTCAGTTTTCGTTGGAAAAACGTTGTATTTTTCAGCGCAACCAAAAGCACACCGAATTTCTTTTGCAAGTGGTCTCGAAACCCTGAGTTCGCAGGTAAAATGCTTCGATATAGTATGCTTCTAAGTTGCTGTTTTGCAGGAATCTGAAGAATCAGGATCCGACAAGCGTGCAGTTCCTGAGAGTGGGAACTCGGAAAGCACATTGTTTGAGAGACTAAGACAAACTCTAGTCTCGAAAGGGATCCTTGAAAGCGAGAAAAATCAACTAACAGATGAAGTCAAGCAACTGAAATCTGAGAACTCCTCACTGAAAGAAGAAATTCTTAAGGTTGAGAAAGAAAAGCTGCGAATTGAGAAGGAGATTTCTGAGATTGAAATCTCTAGCAATTCAGCACTGTGCAAGCAATTTTCAGAAGATAAAGAGGAGGCACAAAAGATTGTTGTGCAGCTATCATCTGAAATCCATCTTTTGAAAAACACTTGCATTCTTGCGGACGAGAAGCTGTCGTCATTACAGCGAGTTTACCAAGAAGAGGTACCTGTTTTTACGTTTTTTTTGCTTTCAACAGATTGTTCTGAAATGTTCTGAAATGCATGCAGGTGAATATATTGAAAATCTCCCATGCGAGGGAAATTGAAGCGAAGGAGAATCAGCTGAACAGCGAGGTAAACGGATTTCTCCTTCTTCTCAATCTCTAGGACCTTTTCTGCCTTGTTGTAGAGAGCATTTGTGGCAAATCAAAAGCATACGATGGAAATGCTCACGCAGCTAGTCTCAAAATCCAATGACTGGTGTACTAAGGTCGACGAGATACAGCATTGGATGGTTACAGAGAAAGAGAACTCTAATAAGTTCAGGACTGAATGGCTGGACGGGTTTGAGAGATCAATGCATCAGCAACACACGTTCATGAATGAGTGGCAAAACCAGGTTCAGCAAATTCTGAGTTTTACGTGTTTCTCTTCTAAAGCCTCGCCATGGATACTGCAGTTGGAGGAGCTAATGCGAATTCTTTCATTGTCTGTCCATAACATTAAAGATTTACAGACTACTGAGAGGGATAGTCTCCTCAGAGAGCGAGCACATTTACAAGCACTTCAGGTTTGAACTGATTTCTTAAGTCGCAAATCAAAATCTGTTTTTGTAAGTAGGAAGCTGTCCAACGTGAGCGATCCCAGTCTCTGGCGGATCTTACAGCGTCAAGGCAGAAGATGGACGAGCTCAGAAGTATGTGTCTTCAAGAAAAGGAGTCATTTCTTCAAAAGTGCTTTGAGGTCAGAGCGCGATTTGTTTTTCAAACTTAGCCACCAACCAGCAAATGAAATGCAGGAAAAAAAGGAACTTGCTGGTGAACGTGATGCAGTACTTCGAATGAAGGAACAGCTATATCATGCAGATGTCTCACTTGAGAAGCAACTTGTGGAACATGCAGCGAGAATACAAAATGGTTTGGTGGCTGTGGTAGTTTGTTGCCGAGTTCTGTTGTCTTGACAAGATTTTTTCCTTGCCCTGTGCCACCAGAAACTGGAGAGTTGTCCAAACAACGATCTGATCTTGAAAGAGCGCGAGTTATGGCTGCTGAGATTGCACAGGAAGTGGAAGATGGACGGCGGGACCTAGAGATGCGATACCAGGAACTTGACAAGGAAAAGGTGCAAAGTTTTTCAATACCTACAAAATTATGTGAAAACAGTTGCTTTCAGAGATTCTATGACACTGAAAATTCAACAACGGACGCAAGGCATAGCTGCGGACGAAAGAACAGGTCGAGGACAGGTAAACAAAAGAAGCGTGCTTCGGACCCGACCACTCCGCTCTTCAAGTTGATACAGCACAATCCATGGTAAGTTTCCATTGCTTTAGCCTTTGTTTCCTCAAAAAGTGTGTTTTTTCCATGCAGGAATGACACTGTGAAGCAACTTAGAAAGAAAGTTAAGCGCAAGTTTGACATCGCAAGCAGCTCGTCGTGTGCTCCTCAAGGGGCGGGCGAAGAACTTATGGCAAGCACGGAGGTATGCTTCAGAAGCAATGAGAATTTTTGTTGATTTTCGTTTCATAGGCTCTACTTCGGTTGCAAGAGCAGCAGCAGTTCTTGCATGAAGCTGAGAAAACGTTGAAGTCCAACGAACGGTGGACCAAGAACTTTCTTAGCAGCGGGAAGAACATTCCTTAGTTATATGCTCGGGGAGTTTACTTTAAAAATGCCCCTCAAGAAGATACCCTGGTGGAATTCGTGGATATCCACTGTCGACTTTCGAGTGGCAGGCAAACGTGGAAGGGTGGGAGGAGGGAAGCTGCGTTTTGGGTTCTTAGGGCGCAGCCGTGTCAGCGCCATCGCTTCAGGTACTGTTACCATCATCTGATGAATTTGGCATGATCTTGGCGATCTTCTTTCCAGGCAACACCGCTCTCGCGCTTCTGGCATGGATTGGTTTCCTCCCTTTCGATCCTACTAATGCTTCTGCTGCTAAGACTTGGTAAGAACAACTTCAGGCTCAGGAACATAGTTTTTGCCGGGAGGACAACCATGGGGATTCGCCACTGGCTTTTGGTGCTCACCTTCTACCTGGGAAAAGAATATGATGAGGATGGAATTCGGTAGTGGATTGTAGCTCAGGGATACAGTTACAGGCTAGAAAAACGTGAAAAGTTTTGGACTTGGTAACGATGGAGGCCAAGTCAAGTGGAAAGCAGGTTGCTGGTCGGCATGCTTTGGCGAATTCTGCGAGCCGGGACTTATTCGCTGCTGCTCGAAATGGAACAGTGCATGATGTGGAGACCGCTCTCTCTGCTCTCAAGAAGATTAATGGTAGCGTCGATGCTCGGGACAGGTTTGGCTCGACCGCCATGCATATCGCAACCTGGAGGAATCACGTTCCGATTGTGAAGAGGCTTTTGGCTGCTGGAGCTGATCCTAACGCTCGGGTACGTTATTCAAGTTCTTCTTTTGCCTTTTGATTTCTCACTTCTTCTCATGTTCGCAAATTTTAGGATGGAGAATCCGGCTGGGGAAGCTTGCACAGGGCTCTACATTTTGGTCACCTTGCCGTTGCCGGTGCGCTTGTTGACGGTGGCGCTTCTGTGTCCTTGGATGATTCGAAAGGTCGACTTCCAGTCGACTTGGTTTCTGGTCCTGTCAAACAGGCTGTCACTCCATCTTGCAGAGGTGAGCTGAGGTTTCGCACCATCATCTTAAGCTACTAAGTTTTTTGCTTTTTGTCCTGCAGGAGTTGTCTTGAAGGAGCTTTTCAGCTGGGGGAATGGCTCAAACTATCAACTCGGGACAGGCTCAGCAGGCATTCAACGCGTACCATGTCGAGTTGAGACTCTTCACGGTGCTGATATCGTCCGAGTTTCAGCTGCAAAATTCCATAGCACAGCAGTTAACTCAAGCGGCCAGCTATTTTCCTGGGGATATGGAAGGGGAGGACGCCTGGGACACGAGGACTACAGGTTTGCAATGCAGAACTTATTTCGTGCAAACCATTTCGGTTCCTTCTGGCAGTGGAGAAGTTGCAGTTATAGCACCTCGTCAAGTTACTGGCTTATGCGGACGACGGGTTAAAAACGTTGCAGCTGCCAAGCACCATACCATTGTAGCGACGGAGGGTGGTGAAGTTTATACATGGGGTACAAACAGAGGTGCGAAGCATTTTTCCATCCCCTATCCATTCTCACATATTGTCTTTACAGAAGGACAGCTTGGTTATCCTGCTGTAGACACTCAATCTACTCCAAGGCGTGTATCTACTTTGAGAGCCAAAGTAGTGGAAGTTGCAGCGGCGAACAAACACAGCGCCGCTGTTACCGAGTCCGGAGAGGTTTACACTTGGGGATGCAACAAAGACGGCCAGCTGGGATACGGAACTTCAAATTCCGCTTCGAACTGCGTACCACGCGTAGTGGACTATTTGAAAGGAAGGAAGGCCTTGACCATCTCCGCTGCAAAACGTCACACTGTTGTGATCGTAGAGACCGAGGTAAGTAGCTGATTCTCCACGCATGATCGACCTTACACAAGTTATTATGCAGGTGTTTACATGGGGCCACAAAATGGTGTCACCCAGGCGCGTGGTGTTAGTGAGAAATACAAAGAAGGCGGGACAACACCCACTGAAGTTCCACTTATCCGAACGCCTGCATATCGTCGCTGTAGCGGCGGGTGTGGTGCACAGTACGGCGATCGCTGCGGATGGCTTGATTTTTTCGTGGTTGTCTGCTGATCCACAACTACATGCACAGCAGGTAATCTTCGTTTGTTCTATTGTTCCTATGATGTTTATACTAGCTGTTCTTCTTTTATACCAGGTGCTCACTATGACTGGACATCATGCGTTGTCCGTGTCTGCGGGAAAATATAGAACGGCAGTAGCAACTTCTACTGGAGACGTTTATGCGTGGGACAGTGATAAATCCTCCAGTCCAGCTCCGCTGCGCATACATGGGATCAAACGCGCCACACTTCTGGCTGTAGGTGAAACGCATTCACTAGCTGTGACAGAGATCTACGTGCCTGCTTATCAATCGGACTCGGAACCTCTGGTTCCAAATCAAACTGCTACTGACGACAACGGTGATGACGCGCTCGTTGTCACGCCACCGAGGGATCCAGAGGATCGTCTTCCCTCTTTGAGGGACTTATGTCAAAAGGTGATAGCAACGACAATCGTCGAACCGAGGAACGCATTGCAAATCCTGGAGTTTGCAGATGCGCTCGGTGCTGATGAGCTGAAACGCTACTGTGAGGTATGTGTGTGCTGACTGCTCAACTTTCTCATAGTAGTAATCCCTTTTTCTTTTTTCTTCAGAGCCTCATATTGCGTAATCTGGACTACATATTTGCATTCTTTGGCGCGAGCTTTGGTACAACGAGGTCATCAGTTCTAGCCGACTTGGAAAAGTCCTGGGATGCCTGTTCTTTACAACCATGGAGTCATCGACAGCTCCCAGTTCCCAGCGCGACAACACCTGCTATCGTGGACAGCGAAGAAGACGTCGCCGACTCCTTCGCGAATCCAAGAATTCTCAAAGACCAGTTGTTTCCAACGCCGCCCGGTGCAGGATTCCTTCAGGAAGACAGCGCAGGAGATAGAGCTACCAAGCAACTACGTGCGATGCGCAAGAAGCTCCAGCAGATTGAGTTGCTGGAGATGAAGCTCTCCAAGGGACAGAGCCTGGATGACCAGCAAATGACCAAGCTGAGCACCAAGAAATCAATTTTGGAGTCTCTCAGGATCTTGGAAACGCAAGAGCCTGAGACCAGTGGAGAAGTTTTTCCCGAGACCAGCTCCAAGAAGCAAAACCAGCTGACTGACGAACGCTCGAAACGCCAGCGTCGCAAGAGCAAGAAAACTAACAGCAAGAAAACTGAAGTCCAGGTTCCTGACAAGGTGGAAGAGGTAAGCTAGTCTCATATCATGCTTTCATCTCAGATTATTGATCTTTCTTTCACAGGTGGCGACTGATTTTAAAGAGGACATGGAATCCAAGGTTCTAGGATTCAGACTCCCGTCTCCTTCTGCAGAAGTGACCAGTGGCTCCGACCTTAAAACGGAAGTTTCTAAAGCTGACGATGGTCGCTCCAAAGCAACCGTTAAGAAAGCCAAGACGAAGTGTAAGAAAGGTGGCCTCTCCCTCTTTCTAACGGGTGCTCTGGACAAAGCTCCGGAAACCATTCCGCCGCCACCGCCGCCGGTTCCACTCGTTGCGAAAACAGATGGCCCAGCTTGGGGTGGTGGTGCTCTCATGCGCGGCAAAGGAGCTGCGTCTCTCTCCGAGATTCAAACCGAGCAGAAGGCCGAGTCAAGCAACACCAGTGCTAACAACAAGCCAGTGACGATGCAACGCAAGCCTCCGGAGAGCTCCCCTCGCGAGGCAGCGGCACCGGGACACCAGCGCATTCCTCTACAGCAGTTTGTTCGATCGCCGCCAGCTCCAGCGATGAGCTTTACACCCCCGAAAGCCGCACCGTGGACCGGAAGCTCATCGCCTGGCGCGTTTCCATCGCTGAGAGACATCCAAAAGCAAGAGGTAAAAGTCTTGTCCCGAGGTGGTGGTGCTTGATTGATCGTGTTTCTCTTTCTCTTTTTTTTTTTTTTTTTTCTCTCTCTCTCTCTCCAGGCCAAGCACAAGGAGCAGCGAGCATCGTTTAGAAGCCACCAAGTTGGAAGCCCGCCAGTGGTTGGATTCGCCGCTTCTTCGTCCGGCAGAGATGCTGCCGCTAGCAGTAGCGATCTCTCGTCCGAGCATCCCAGCTGCTGGTACAAGCCCGACACGAGCAGTCCGTCCAGCATTCGCTGCATCCAGATCGAAGAGAGAGCCATGAACGATCTCCGCCGCCTCTACAAGAACGTGAAGATGGTGAAGCCCGATTCTTGACACAGCCAAGAGCTCCTTGGTTGCTCGTCAATAAGAATGGAATGATCATAAGCATTCCCTCTAAATATTATCTTTGGTCTTACCTAGAGAACTGAAACGAAATGGTAACTCTACATTATCATTGTGATAAACTTTGCAAAACAACGAAGAAGAGATCTCTTACAAGCCTCATACAATGGAATGGAAGAATGGAATGGAAGATATAAACATTCCCCTCTATGCATTATCAGATAAAAATCTTGATCCTCGCAAAAGAATCTATAGAACTAATCTGTACGGAAACGAAGAAAAGAGAGCTTACTGTTGCCGCATTGTCATGCCAAAACCGTACGGGAAGAGAGGATCATAGCCCATGTCTCCCACATTCATGGGAAGTTGATCCACGCGCTTGAACCACGTCCTGGACGATTTCCCCACGAAGTCGTGGTCACCGAAAAGCACGTCGGCCACGCCTTGGCCCTCGGAACCTGGAAGCCACGCCGCCACCAGCGCGTCCATCATATCGATGTGAGGCTCCAGCACCAGCGGCCGACCGGAGATGAGCACCACCACGCAGCGCAGGGACGAGCACACGTTCCGGATGGTGTCGATGCCTTGGCTGGGGATTGTCAAGTTGAGATTGTCGCCGGCTATCTCGGCGTAAGGCTGCTCGCCGATCACCACCACCGCGTACGAGAAGCCTTTGTCCTTGACGAAGTTGGCGTCTGGGGACTGCTCGTAGACAACTTGCGTGGATTGGCTCACGGTGTTGGCAATTGCTTGGCGAATCGTAGTTCCTGGCATTTTCCAAGATCAAAGTTAGCCAAGAACAAACGAGAGTTTAAAGTAGGAGAGCTGCTACTCACCGATTGTTGTTTGTCCACTGCCTCCTTGCCAGGTGATTGTCCATCCTCCACACTGAAGTCCCAAGTCATCAGCGTGTGTTCCAGCCACTAGAATCTTGGGCGCGGTCTTGCTGAGTGGTAGGATGTTCTTGCTAGATCCGCTCCTGGCTGAGTTTTTCAAGAGCACGAGTGACTTTCTCACGGCTTCCCTGGCTAGCTCTCGGTGGTCCTCTGCGCCGACTTTGTTGTTGAGCTTCCTATTTGCCTTCGGCGCTTCGAACAGTCCAGCAGCAAATTTGACTCTGAGGATCCTGGTCACGGCGTCGTCTATCCTGCTCTGGCTGACGGCTCCGGATTTAACCAGTCCAGTGAGGATGTTGATGAAGTTTTGGTAATCGAACGGAACCATGATCTGCGTCGTGAAAGCGAAATTTAGTGACACTGACACGCACAAAAAAGTCCAAATGCTAAATTGCTTACCATGTCGATACCTGCATTGACCGAAGTCAAGACAGAGTACGTGTAGTTTTGCTTGGGTGGATCGGTGATTCTATCAATGGCTTCCCAGTCAGATATCAGGAATCCCTGCAGAAACAGACAGGAAAGTGTGTATAGTTTAATTAGCAAGTCGTGACGGAATCAAAGAGACGCTTACCTGAAACCCGAGACGATTTTTCAATACTTCGGTAACCAGGAAACGATTAGCGTGCATCTTGATGCCATTGAAGCTGGAGTACGAAATCATGATGGTTGAAACACCCATGGCGATGGCATCAAGATAAGGAGCCATATGAACTTGAACGAGCTGCCTATAAGTGGTCACTGTGTTGTTCTCGTCAATTCCCTTCACTGTTCCTCCATCACCCACGAAATGCTTGGCACAGGCAACAACTTTGGATCTGAAACAAGAAAAGAAAATGGTCATGTAGTCACGGATAGAGAATAATGTGATCTAACTTACGGTCCTCCAACGTAAGGATAGCCAGACGGATGACTAGGTGGTGGAGAGCCTTGCAAGCCCTGGATGATCTTTGTCATGCTTCTCACGAGCTGGGTATCTTCACCATAGCTCTCGTAGCATCGCCCCCATCTCGGATCACGGCAAACAGCAATGCAGGGAGCAAAAGCGTAAGGCATTCCAGTTGCTCGGACTTCCAGCGCAGTAGCAGCTCCGATTCTCCGCACCAGCTCAGGATCCCTGAGAAAAAGTCCCAAAAACTTTTCATACCAAAAAGGAAGGAAAAAAGATGGATGGAGAAAGAATGAAGAAGTACCTGGAAGAACCGAGGCCAATGTTGTGAGGATAAATGGTAGCTCCATAGACATTGTTGTGACCATGCACTGCGTCGACGCCATAGATGACTGGAATTCCAAGGCGAGTGCTCATAGCTCCAATCTGATAGTCATCGACCATGTCCTCCCATACATTGGGAGCTGCCCTCTCCGCCGGAGCACTGCCTCCCCCATTCAACACGCTCCCTATCACACAGCAGCCATTGGAGATTTCAGATGATCACACGCGCTTCTTCCAAGAAGCTATCGCATTCTCAATCGATCGATCGATTGAGGACACTCACTCACCTATGCCGTATTGCCTGACCACGGCCTGGCTCGCCACCGCCCTCTCAATCTGCGTCATTTGCCCGATCTTTTCCTCGAGCGTCATCCTCCTCAGGAGATCTTTGATCCGCGCCTCAATGCTCTGGCGAGAATCCTTGTAGAGCATCTGGCCATCGCCGGCGACCAGCAAGAATGCGAGGAGCGCCAGCAGCAGCGCCATCGCCGAAGCTCTCATCCCTCGCCGATCGATCGAAATATCACTGCCGCGCGTGGATCGGATCGAAAGAAGCATCGCGAGGCCGCGCGCATGCAACGATCGACACGGCGGATGATCCAGCAAGAAGAGAATGGAGGAGGAGGAGGAAGAGATGGAGGAGAAAGGAAATGCCTAGAATCGAGAGAATGGAGGCCACAGCATCGAGGCCGGATTAAAAGGCGGTCGTGATCGGTCACGCAAACGCGGACCAGTGCGTCGCGTTTAAATGCTTCCGCCATAGCCCAGTTTGTGTGAACCCTGCAAACTTTCCCCAAGGGTGTGCCACGCTGGCAGGGTAAAACGGTAAATTCGTTCACATTAACTCTGTCCTAAGTAGCGTCTGGAATTAAGGGGTAATCACCAAATTAATCCAATGGTCGCAGTGCCACAAGTCATCCTGTCCGTTCGTGCACGGCTGTCCCTCCAACGGCCATTTTTCCCCTCTCCATCCACGCGACAAAACGCACACATCGTTGTGCCAATTTAATGATCTTTTATGAAAACCATGGATGGATTCTCATGTCGCTACCAACACGAGGACTCAGCTATGGTGGCTTTCGTTCTCGTTCGTTCCCTATCAAGTGGAAGAGAAAAGGAAATCGTCAGAGAAATAAATCGTCCACGTTCTTCAATGTAAATCTTACCAGATAGTTCATAGAATCGCCCATTGTCATTGTAAGCTTGTCACTGCAAGTTTTAGAATATAAAACCATGTACACGAGGATTGTGAGAAACCATAAAAGCAAAGCTCCAGAGAATGAACGATCGGAGAGAGCAAGCGAGCAAGCTCTTCATCATTCAATGCAAAAATGCTAAAACTCACCAGCACAGTGAGCATGAAAGTCACGTACCTGTAAGAATCTGGAACCAGCAGCAAATGCATCCGAGAAGAAACGCAGCGGTCACGCATCTACAATAACTGTTTCGATTGATTTATTTACCTCTCTTGCAATCCGTAAATGAAAACTTTTTGACAAGAGAAAAATTGTCAAGCATAGCTTGAATGATAAGAAAAATGCGCGCCTGAAACGACGAATCACCAGCTGTTAGTTCTAACGAGAAACTCTTAACAATGAATACCAGATCATTTGAGGACGCACTCCCTCAAAGTTTGAGCGGCTTTCTCCGGAGCCACCGTGTTGATGGTCCAACCAGTGGCAAGCTCAAAGCCCCCCAGCACTCCCAGTCGAGGGAGGATTGCAATGTACCAGTGGAAATACTCCGTCTTGGTTTCCTCGCAGAAAGGATTGTTGTAAAGCACGTAGTTGTATGCAGCGCCTGGAAATTGCTGCACTATTTTTTTCAATGTTAGATGAAGTAATCTCGCCAAATCCCCGATCTATAAACGAGAATGCATGCGTTAGTGGAGAGTAAACCAAAAGAAAGAAAGAAGAATCATCACCTCGGAATCACTCGTCCCCTCAAAGTTCGAACTATGGTTGATGGGAATAATCCACGTCTCGAACGGGAAGCGAGCTTCAAAGGGCGCCACTGAAACGAAGCGTGATGACTGATCGATCAACCTTGAGCGATCTCGAAGATCCGCTTTCACGGACTCGCAAAGGAGACAGCGTCCCTTACGTTCGAAGAACTCTTTGGAGTTTTTAACTTGCCACATTAGTTCTTGAGGTACCATAGGCAATGCGATGATTTGGCTATGGGAGTGACGCAGCGACGCACCAGCTTCTTTGCCATTGTTCTTGAAAACCTGGAAAGCAATGCGATCGGTCAAACCAATCCAACCATGGAAGAAGCCAGTCACCTGGACGTATTGGAATCGCTTGTCATTCTTGAGATCCTTGAGCCGGTGCCGGAACGCCTTGAGCACTCGCTCTACCTGGTCGATCGGAAGCTCCGCGAATTGGATTCCATGCTCCGGCGTCTCCACGACCACCTCATGCGATCCAAATCCAGAGCGCCGGCTACGATGACAATCCTCATCGATCGTGCACGTCGGCGACAGCGAAGAATCCACAGCAGGGAATTTGTTGTAGACGACGCGGACGCTCCAATCCGGCGCGCTCACCACATCGCTCTCCCGGAACGCAAACGTCTCGTCCCCTGTCTCGTGCTCGTGATTCCTGCAAAACGGGCAGCTGTGATTGCCGCCACTGTGATTACCGCCATCGCTGCCGCTGTGATCGGAGGAAACATCATGTGGCCGATTGCCGCGAGCAGAGGAGACGATCACCCATCGCGGCTGGACGCTGTGCCGGAGCTCCGCCATTTGCCCTGCCCTAGCACCGGGTTTGGGCTCAAATCCCAAACATATATAACATTTAGGGCTACAAAAAGACATTGATCGCATTGCCAGTATTCTAACAGTAATGAGATTCTTACGCGTGTTGTCGTCGAAATTGGAGTACCCTCCAGCCCAATGTTCCTCCAACGTGTAGTAGTGATTCTCCCCGTCCAGCTTCTCGATCCAGCCCACGACTGGATGTTGTCGATCGCCCGGATCCTCTCGGAAGAGATCACCACACTTTGGCGATCGGATACCTCCCTGCCATGACGCTGCCGAGGAAGAATCTCCCAACTGCGATTGCAAGGACGTCGAGTCGCGTTCATCCATCCACCCGGAGCTCTCATTCGGGTCTAACCTGTCGAGTTGGCGGCTCTTGCCACCCACAGCCCTCCGCAAAGCTCCATCCTTGGCGGAATTGGCATTGTTCGAAGAAACAGTGCCAATAATTTGGAGCCCGACTCAACTGCAAGAACAAGCAAAGAAAAGAAAATCTGAGAGTCGAAAGTAGCAAAGCCAAACAAAGGATAACTTTACCTCAGCCTGTCTCGCTCCACTAGAAGAAGAACGAGTTGCGCAGGGGTCCTCGAGCTTCTTAGCTCCAAAAGGTGGCGCTCTTAGCGGCGTGGCTTCTGCAAAAGCACTCCCAGTAAAGTCCACAATCATCTTTGTTGTTGCCTTGGGGGCTTCTAGCAGTCATTATCCTGTTGCTGCCACATGAATTATGTCGGCATACATAAGAGCGGACACAATACTTTACCTCGAAATATGATCTCAATGCTTTATTAGGAGCTTGTAGTCCTGCAATACTTGCTCCTTACATCTGGACCGATCGCCATAAGCAGCTCCTCTAGAGCAGGGCATGAACCAGAGACTGATGCATCTTAGAGCATCGAGATCGAGAGTAAATATCAAATAGACGGAAAGATGAAATGAAAGACTATGGCGTGATGAATGAAGGCACTGGCGGAGCTCATCAGGGAATGCAAGAGTGTCACTGAGGCATGAAGTTTCGACCGCCACATTGTCTCCACTGACTTGACGAGATGTGCCCATGGCGTCTACGTCTCCATCTCCTGGTGAGTAGGTGACCTTTCCATTGAGTCGACCTATGTGCCGGGGATCAGCACACAAGTGCCAAGAAATTCTGATGTATCAGTTAGACAATATCCAGTGAGGAGCAGTTGTCAATCTCACTTGAGAGCATCTTAGAGATGTCAAGAACCACTGATATAGAGTAGTTTGCCATGGTTGTTTGATTGATCATATAGGGAATGAAGGTTTATCTATCAGGTATAGATGCATCTGGATTAGAGGCTCAAACTACTTAGATGCGATGTAGAAGGAACTTGGAATACTTGAATTGAAGTTTGTGCCATCCAAACCTTAAAATGTTTAATTGACGTGGTGTTTAGGGTAGATATTCTTTAAGAGTTGTGGGAGTAGTGAGGAGATTGTGAGTGTTAGTGCAATTGCACTTGAGTGAGCTTTACAGAAGAAATTAATTGACAAAATTGCTTAGAGATGCATTGTTGCCAATGGCTAATTGTTAATTATAAAAAAAGTTCTTCAAAAACAATTTATCTCTTTTATAACTCATTAGATTCTCACTTAGGTGCAACATATTGAAATTTGCACAACAAAGAGCCTTTTGGCTTTGGTTCTAACAGAGACTTTGTTAAATTGAAGTAGTCAGAGGATAGTTACAAACCTAAATAAATCTTGGAATCTAGGAACAAAGCACCACTTTTTCTTGGTAAAGACTCCACTCTATATAATGTGATGAAGGCAATCACACTAAATGAATTCATTTCAACAAAGAAAGGCCACTTTAAAGCTGTGATATGCTTGCTCTAAATACCTCTATAATATGAAAATGTACCAGCAATACTTGCCAAGATGGGGGTATTGCATAAACACTCTAGTTGTTATTCGTCCAACAACAAATTAAAACAATGGGAGTGTAAAGCAAGATGTTATAATTGTGATTCAGTTTGATCTTATTTAGTCTTTAAATGCCTATTTCATAAAATACATTATGGGTTGTGGATTGTAAAATTTTTAAAATAATGTACTATCAATTTCACTATGTTCCCTTTATAGTAATCTCCAAGGGCTAGTATAATATAGAGAGTGTGGGGGTTGGACTTCAGCATAATTAATTTGGCCAGGAAAGACTAATGTCCCTTAAACTAAAGACTAAGACATTACACAATGTCCCTTAGGGACTAGTACAAAAACAAATTGCTCATAACTCTACTCTCTCAACAAAACCATCTTGCTATCTCTTACCTAATGATCATTGCCTTCTAACCAGGGCTGTTGTGGTCGTCTCCTCCGTAAAGCATCCAGTGCCCAACCACCTCATCTTGCCTCCTTTGCTACAGTGGCTAGTGGCCTCCATTTCCATTTGATACCACCCACATGTTCTCCTCTTTAGCAAGGGGTCCATTATCTTCGCCAAGCTTCTAGCACCTCTCTTTTACTGTGCTCCTAGAGTAATGTCTCTTTGAGGTAGACACCAGCCAATGTGAGCCTCCACCAATGTGCCATGGTTGTTAATATTTGAGCATTTTGTCCCTCGAAGTGGTTGTGGTTCCTTACTTCCCAAAGCACCTATACCCCGGATGCATGCCATATCTCCCATCTGGTCTATCCAAGGGCTTCCCATATTGTAGTCCCGACTTCAACTCCTACTGTATCCCACTTGACTTTGGTGCCCCATCCTAAGCATCCCTAACAACCAATCCTCTGTCAGGCCCATCTTGTGTATAGTCCCCTTGCCTCTAGGAACCATTGCATGATGTCTCCTTCACATATTTTGAAGTTCTACTTGCTCCCTAGTTCCCTAGCTGCCTTTGCTACTTGTCTCCACGTCTCCTTTGCCACATCATACTCTCAGAGGAGATGTGCTACTATCTCCAACACCCCACATTCGGGTGTCCTCTGCTTGGAACCGCTATCCTACTAGCAAACCTTCTATTGCCATGAGCCATGAAGTGACTTTTGACTTCTCCTAAATTAGTAGTTTCTAGAAAGCCACTATGTTGTCAGTCACCTGATCCACTTCCACTCCTAGTGCAATCCATTTCTGCTAAAGTTTTGGTACTTCCTCTCTCTTGAACTCTCTATTCACCATCAGTCCATTTTGTGTGTCTTTGACCTTATATGTGAAAAATTCATTTGCTCCATGTCTCCATGCAATTGGGTCCCAATTTAGGTCCTCTATGAGCTCCTTATGCCACCATACTAGACATCCTTCTCCTTCTAGCTAGCATGGTGATTCTATCAACTCTATTCGCGTCGCTAACTGTTTCAAGACTTGGATCTGTTCTTTCACTTTGTCATCTGTGGCCTGTGGCATTGTTTATGTATCCCCTATTGAAAGGAATGTATCCCCTCACACCACTCAAAAAGGCCTGCCAAGGTTTAGATTTAGATCCATCATAAACCACACCTCTGTCTCCCCTTTATTCTAAGCTGGAGTTGGTGCTATGAAAGCCCAAGTTTATCTTCCTAGTGCAAATTATTCCCCATCTGACATTTCCTCTTGTTGGATTGCCACAAAATCCCTAGCGTGTAGTCTTCTTGCTGGCCACTTGTCCACTGTTCTTGCCTTTGTCACTGTAGTAACCTTAGCAGGTCTAGCTGAACATTTTGCCACTTCCTTGGCCCAAAAACTTGGAAGTGTCGGGAAGATTTCTGTTGGTTTGGGTCTATCACTCCCACTAGTTGTTTGACCATCCTGAATCTTCCCTGATGTATGCACCTCTATATAGTGTACTAGTTCTCCCAGCCTAGTGTTCAGTCCCCTGCTTTAAACAATTTGTTGAAGAAGAGAGGCTAGATCAACCAATCCTCCACTTTGGTCAAGATGACCTACATCAGTGGGAATGACTTCCAAATTTTAGGCTCTGGATCAACTATCCTCCCCCTACTACCTACATCTACCCTTCCACAAATAGCCACCAAGGATCTTCATCCCAAACTCTTGCACATCCATGTCTCAGTCTAATTGCCAACATGCTCTACCTAAAAAGAAGGTGGCACTACCTACTTGGATACTTGACATGGCTCATTAAAACCTTGCTCTAGCCACCTGGCTAGGGCACTCAAAGGTAGATGGTGGGAAGAGTACCCACAAGGCTTATATAGGGCCATAGTGTTTCAAAATGTCATTCCAAAGTCCTAGATTGTGGAAAGGAAGAGGAGCAATTCTCTTAAGTAGTGACCAGGGACGCAGTCATGTGGCAAGGAAGTCCTAGAAATCAATAGGATATAGTGGTTGGGCCTTCAAGCCCTAAGTCAATGGCAATGTTGACAAACATGACTGTATATAGAAAGGGATTTGGTGGGGACTAAAAGAGGGATATTGTGGAAAGTTATTACCCATATCTGTGGGCATTCTAAGGATGCTAAAGAGGGGATCTAGGTTGATCACTCATACAATCTTTGAAAGATGGGACTGTGATGTAAGTGGTGTTGGATCACCAGTGTGATAGAGGCAAATAGACATGGCCTTAGTGTAACAAGCTAATATGTTGGTGGTACTTTTGAGTGTCAATCATGAGATCGTACATGTGGAGCACTTGGACCAAGTGCAAAGGTTGAGTGGCATAGATGCCATTTTTGGGACTAGAAAGTCCCCAAGTCTAGAATAGGACATATAGAGGTTGTGAATGATTCCTCCAAGTGGTCGAAAGTGTGGCTAATTGACTAAAGTAAAATGGAAAATTTAGTTACTTACAATTGGTATCAAAGTTGTTTCTTAATCTGACTTTTATTGGTGGTCAAATATATCACCACTTATGTTAGCATCAGAAGGTCTTAGGAGTGGGCCTATCCTTGAGAAGTAGTAGATCAGGAGGACATAGCTCTCCAATACAATTCATGTGTAAACTTATAAGCAATGTGATGGATAGAAAAGGGCCAACAAGGAAATGACCTTGGGATCTTGGGAATAGTATAAGGTTTTCTTCAAAGAGTTGAGTATGTGATTC